TATATATACATATGTATGTATGGATTTGTAAAAAATGTAGAAATAATACAATTGCATTTTTGTATCATTAATTTACTTTTAATTTCTAAAAAAAAAAGTTTTCAATTGGAAAGAAGAAATTTCCCTTTCGTTTTAAATTTTTTTTTTTTATTATATTCATTTAGAATTATATTTTTAAGTAACATTATTATTCAAAGTTTGAATAAAAGGACAAACATAATTTATTCTTAATATTAAAAATTTCTTTGTAAATATAATAGCTTGCCAAATTTCTTTTCAATAAATAGAATTATTATATAAAATTGACAAATTTCTTTTCAATAAACAGAATTATTATATAAAATTAACAAATTTTCTGATTTTCTTCATTTTCGTGAAATTTTTTTAAATTTAAGCTTTTAAGTATTTTTTTCCTTTTGGTTATTTTTGTAATTTTATTTAACATTAATTTCGAATTGTAAAATTTAAATTTAAAGAAGTTTGTTTTTTTTTTTTATAAATATATAATTGAAATTTGAATTCACATTTATAAATTAGAATATTAATGAGAATAAAATGAACGTAAAAGTTCACAATATAAAAAAAATACTTAGATTATAAATTTAATATAATAAAGAAAAGTTTACAAAAATTTAAGAATATGTAAATTTGATAACCACATTACCACATAACATTTACACAATTTCTCACTGAATATAATTTTTCTTATTGCGATCAAATTCTGTATATTACATTATGAACTTCATATTTTCTTCATCTTTTCTTGCACTTTGTAATTATTTATTCATTTATGAATTTGATGATTTTCATTTACCACATTCCACACATGGTTAAAAAGAAAAAACAAAACAATTTACAAATTACATAATATAAATAATTTTTTATCTTTCGATTGTAATTACATAATTATTATCTCTTCTATTAAGTTTTCTATTTCAATTAAATTTAAAATAAAAAAAGAATATTGTTAAATTTCTTTTGAAGATGAAATCACAAAGAAACTTTTCTGCTAAGCCAATCAAAATTAACAAAAATTTAATAAAGTTATATACAAGTTGTACAAAGATATTTAATTATAAAATAAAAACAAAACAAAAAAAAACGAAAGTCGAAATTTACATTAAAAAAAGAAGAAGCATCATTAAATTTCATTAAAATATACTTAGGATAAAATATTGTCTAGTTATAAAAAAAAAAAAATAACTCGTTGTCCAACAAAAAAAAAAAAAAATAAAGAAAATTAAATGAAAAAAAAATTATAAAAATTTATAAAATGTGTTTAAAGTGTGCATTATATTAAATATATATTAATGAAAAAGTTATTCATTGATAGATGACTTATAACAATCTGATGTTTGAAAATGTGAATATATTTTTTTAGTAACTAATTTACTATAATGTACATTTTAACTTTAAAAACTAAGCAATGAGGTATAAGATAAGAAAAATATCCATTTTAAGTTATAAATTATTTTGAAAAAGTTTTAATTATGCAATTTTTTGTTTTTTCATCTTTTTCTTTTTTTTTTTTTTTTTGAGAAAAAATGTATTTAATTTGAATCTTGGCTAGATAAAAATTAAAAGAAAAAATTATAAATATTAATTATATAGATTATATATATATATATAAAAAGATATTAAAATTACTAAACGATTTTATTCATTAAATATTAATTATATTTAAAATATATACATATATATATATATAAAAACAAAACAAATTTGTGGAAACAAAACTTAAAATTAAAAATAAACAGATAAAACAGTTATAATTGATAAGCAAAAAAATTTTATTTGACTCTTTTATTTGCTAAATAAATTTAGATAATATTTTAGATAAAATTAATTCAGGTTCTTGTTCATAAAGTTCTTATCTTAATATTAAACTTTTGATTGAATTTATTTTGCTTGTATATTCGAAGTTCTTCTGATTTAAAAAAAAAAAAACTACAAGATGTCTCTTTTAATTTCATATAGTTTCGAAACGCTTATACGCCGGGTCAGTTAAATCTCATTTTTGTTTTCAGTAAAATTCCTATTTTAATAAAAACATTAGAAAAATTTCTTAAACATGCAAAAAATGAAGATAATTATTCGCCTTAATTACGAAAAAATCTCGATACAAGATGTACGATAGCAATATCGTAACGATATCAGTGTTATGAGTCGATAAGCTATAAATATAACAAAAATATTTTTCTAATAATAATATACATTATTGATAATAAGAGTTTGTAAGATTTTTTTTTATCTAAAGACCATAAAAGTAATTTTTTTTCCAAAGATATTCGTATGTAATAATCTATTATATTGAAATTGTCTATGATGTAGGGATTAGTCATGAAAGCTATTGTGAAAGATAGATTTCATCACAATGGCTTTTTAAACACTGTTCACCTCCATGTTTGTTCCTTTCACTTTTAAATACACTTCAATTCAACATTATTCTTCAAGAATTAGATTCTTTTGTATGTACATAATTTGCAATTGAATTTAGATTTTGAAAAGAAATTAATTTAATTTTTAGTCATGGGATCAATAAAAATTTAATGTAATTATACTTAATGTATAGAAAAATTTGTTAACATCTGAAGTATTTTTATTAATGGGAACTTGTTGGTTGGAGTTTTTAGTATAACAATGAAAAAATAAAAAATTTTATTGTACATAAAATTGCACATAATATCCAAAATTTTAATCCTTAATAATAATAATATATGTAATATTAAATTAATTCACAATCATTAGTTTATGCAATCGTTTAATATACACATAACTCTAAACGTACATACTTATGTCTAAATGTACAATAATATTAATATAAGAAAGCTTGAGTAAATATAAATATTTTAAATAATTTATACTAGAAAATAATATAGCAAATTTAAAATAATCATATATTTTTTATGAATGGATCTTTTTCTCATATAATTTATTTTAAAAAACTAGTTAACTATAATTTTCTACAAAAACAATCGAGTATCAAAATTCAAAATGCTTTTAGAGATTTTGCTTCGTCATTGTCTATTATATGTTGTTGAAAACTCTAACGATATAATTATATGACTATCATATACACAATTAAATTAAATAATTAATTAAATCAGTGGCGTTCCCTCCTTTTGTCCATAAAAATAAAATTAATAAGTATAAATATTAAAAGCTTAACTTTGTGATTTCGTGCTTTTTAAAAATTTCACTTTGAATTCTATGCTATATGGAAGGTATACTAAAATGAGTTGGTTCAAAAAATTTTTCCGAATTAAAATCTTAATTGTGAAGATCAAATAATTTATACTTAAAACAATAGAAATTAATTATGATATGTAAAATTTCTTTATAAGAAAACATTATTCTTAAGTTGGCTCATGCAAACCCTACTTAAAATTATTTCAAATCATTGATATATTTATATGAGATACCATATTTTTTTGATAAGATGAGTTAGGCAGGTATACTATAAATATTTACTCGCATATATATTTTATGTACATTCATACAAAATAATAATACTAGAACTGAATTACTATTAGATAACGTAAGTAAGATTTCATAAAAAAAAAAATAAATATAAACTTGTTTGAGTTTTTCCATTATGTTTTCGTATAATATTATTATTTTACACACCAGCACTTATTTTTACGTTTTGTATTAGTTTATTTAAGTTTAATAATAATTAAATTAAATTTATTTTTAAAAATAAAAATGGGGATTAGATAATTTAACTTAAATTGAATTAAATTAAAAGTATTATGATGGCTTGGACGAGATTAAAATCCTGTGATGATTTGCTTCAGTCATCATCAGCTTAAGATTAATGTTCGATTTTAAGCCAAAGCTTTTAGATTTCAAAATATTCCAATACTCTTTTATATTACAAAATTATATTGAAAGTATTGTAATACATGATTACTTAAAATTAAACGTATATTCGAGGCATGGTGTATTAGACAAAATCTTATGTAACTTAAAATAACTATTAATATTTTTATTGCATATACGTATATACATATGTATGTACACTATTTTTACTTGCACTTGTTTTTGTTTACTATTACGTAGAAAAGTATAATTTTAGTTAATTTATCATTTAATTTTTTATAATATTATGTAAAACGTGTCTGTTGAATCGAATTGTATTCACATTCTATAATGAGGTACCCATAAGACGATCTTTGATTATAATGTAGCATTTATGTGTTAATATGATATACATATTAAACAGTTAAAGATTTGTATTATCAAAGCAAAATTGATTAAGTATAATTCAAAACCGGTATTGAATATTTTAAATAAATTTTATATGTGCTATGTATGTTTACATGTATGCATATCTAATGATGAAATATATTCCAAGCTTAAAGCATTTATGTATATGATTTGTTCACAAACATACTTAGAAAACTCTTCAAACTAAATATTATTATACAGAATAAATAATGCTCTCTGTGTATTATTGAAAATTTTAATCTAATTAAATAAAAAATTAATAATTTTTCAGAACTATAAGATAATTTTAATATCAGATTTTAAAAAAAAATTGTTAAAAATTGGTTTTAGCTAAACTACTTTAAAATCTGCTTGGATTCAGTCATAATTATTGTCGTTATACCTTATTTTATGTTAAAGTTCGTGAGTAATAACATTATACAATATCATGGTGAATTTATAGTTTATAGTGATATACAGGAGATAAGTAGATGAAGAATGTTTGGTTGAAGAGTGGCGCTAGTGAGTAATAAGTTTAATTTAGAATAGTTGTATGGGAGTTGTAATTAAACTGAATTAATGTAGAATGCAGCTTATAAATGGCAATTGTTGAATTGTGCATCGATACGGTATTATTACAATTCCGATGTCAGGATATAATAAACGGGAAATATGTTTTATAAGTCATCTTAAATTTTATTTCTTTACCAATTAACAATTGAAAATAATTAATTTAATCAAATAATAAAAAATATCAAAAAACAAAAATTTAACTTGTCTTTAAATTTAGTTGCTTAAGGGATTTCATTGCTATCAAATCATTTTAAAGTTTAAGAACATTCCGTCGCTGAAAAAAAAAAATAAAATTATTAAAATTTCCTTTTAAATTATAGCTTTAGTAGTGAATACAAAAAGAAAATGAATCGTTGGGAAAATCGTGTTGCTGTAGTAACTGGTGCAAGTTCTGGTATTGGAGCTGCAATTGTTATAGATTTAATAAAAGCAAAAATGATTGTCGTTGGTTTGGCACGTCGTTTAGATCGTATGGAAAAATTACGTGAAGAACTTCCCACTGATTTAAAATCAAATTTTCATTATTTAAAATGTGATGTTTCAAATGAAGAAAATGTTAAAAATTGTTTTCAATGGATAAATGAAAATTTAGGTGGTACAGATGTTTTAGTTAATAATGCTGGATGTTTAAAATATGGTACTTTATCGAATGATTTAACATCAGATGAAATAAGAAATTGTTTAAATACAAATGTTATGGGTATTGTTTATTGTACAAAAGAAGCATTTAAAAGTATGAAAGAACGTGATTTTAATGGACATGTTATTTTAATTAACAGTTTATCTGGTCAAATGCCAATTAATTTACCAGGTATAAGCTTAAATATATATGCTCCAACAAAATATGCTGTAACAGCATTAACAGAAACATATCGTCAAGAATTTCGTGATTTAAAAACAAAAATTAAAATCACTGTAAGTTTTTTTTTAAATATAATAATTATATAATATAATCTAAAGAATAATTTTATTGCTATTTATTAAATTTGAAATTTTTGTAGAGCATTAGTCCGGCCGGTACTGATACAGAAATAATACCAGAAGAATGGAAAAAACATGGTGATCTTAATGATTTATTACGTCCATCTGATATAGCTGAAGCAGTTTTGTATACTTTGGGAACAGGACCTAATTGTCAAGTACATGAGATTACGATTAAACCATTAGGATCTGCATGTTAAAGATAATAATTTGTTTTTTTTTTTTTTTGTATTTTAATAATAAAATTTTAAAAAATACAATTTTTGTTTCAGCCTTCACACAGTATATTAATATTATTGTAAATTTAAGAAATTTTCTATAAAACCAGATTCATTTAGATTTTAAGAGATTTTTATTGATCATATCGAACAAATTACAATTAATTTTTAAGTGCAAGCATATTCTAATATGGAGAATTAAATGAAGGGTGTGTTCAGTTTAAACAATATTATTAAGTATTCTTACTGTATTCTTAACTTATACTAAAATTAAAATTATTTTCACAATTTTTTGAAAATTATTTACTAACATATTTTTGTCTAATTTAAATAACAAATTGAAAAATTTATTAAAGCTTTGATTATATGAAAACAATTTTTTTGTAAGTTGTATGTACATATATATGTCACTAATCATTACGAGCATTAATATATGTCATATACATATGTATATATATATACATACGAGTATATTAATGCTCGTATACTAGTGACAGATGAACATGAGTAGAATATGAAAAAGAAAATTTCTATTGTTGATCATTTTGATTGTTAATAAAAGCTTCTTCTCACTTAAATTTTTTAAAAGCAGGTTCTATTGTGAAATTTAATATTTTCAATATAATTAAAAAAGTTCAACCTTTTCTCACTTCAAATTTAGTTTTCATACTAATTCATAATAATTCAAATTATCAAATGCAAAATAATAAATTATTCTGTTCTTTTGCTGAAAAAATTTACTACAATATAAAAGATTCAAGAAACTTAGGGGATTTTCATAGCTCTATTTTTAATTACCTAACGTTGTGTACAAAATAAACCCCAAAAAGTGTAAATAAGAATATTTTATAAAAAATTTGATAATATATATGCGTATAGAGTAGGAAGGGGGGATAGGGGGGGGGGAAGTGAAATTTCTTAACTCTTAATTTATAATTTTGTTAATGTTAATTATTTATTTTATCAATGAAAAACACATAAAATATGTATGTATGTACCTTATATATATAATATATTGCATATTTTTACACAAAAAAATCTTTTGTAAGAAAATCAAATTTTTTAATTGAAATGGCGCCAGCATGTGGGTAGTTGATCTTCAGGATATACAAGATTTATTGCACATAGTTATACACATTATTTATATATAAACAGCGTGAATTTGAATAAATTAAGGAAGATGGACATATACACTACATTATATAGGAAATCTAAAATGAAAAAAAAAATTTTCTTAAGAAATACAGACAGAAGTTTTTATAGACTTAATCAGGGAACAAGTTACTTCTGTATTTTATGGATTATGTAAGTACAAATGTTATTTGTAAGTACAGAACCATGTTATATTATACAAGCTGTTACCATCTCATAACTTAAAATTTAGTTTATTTTCAAATTTCTACTACATGCTTCTATGGAAACCTTATTTTTTCCATAATCACCCTGTATAGATGCACATTTCATATACAAAATAAAGTGATATATAGATAATTTGATTTATTTTAAAATTTCTCATCAATAAATCTATATCAAATTAAATTAATGCAAAAAAAAATATTTAAAATAAAAATATTGAAATGAAAATTTTCAAAAGTGTTTCTGAAAAAAAAATTAAAAATGTAAAATCGTTTTCTACTTGTCCAAGGATTTTTGTACTTCATATACCCACAGATATGTGTATATATAAAATATAAAAACACATGATTTCATAACTGTAGTAATACGGTATTAATACAAATTATTATCATTAATATGCATTATCGCAGTATTGCTGCAATTTTTAGAAGCACCGCACTAAATCAGTGTGTCAAAATTAAAGCGTTGTTATTGCAGTAAGAAGTAATTTTGAATTTATTTTTGTAATTTTTAACTTTTGAGGGATAAGGCATACTCTTTAAACTATTTTAGAAATTTTTGACTGTCTGAATAGTGTGGTGACCCAATCAAGAAAGGAAAGTTTTGAAAAAACTTATACGTCTATAATATATAAGTAAATAAAATATTTTACGTACTTTTGAATTAAAATTAGAAAATCACTGAAAATTTTCTAACAAGTGGCAGTGACTTTGAATAGAAAATAAACAAAAATATTTATCTATTGAGTTGTTATAAAAAAAAAAAAAAAAACAATAAAAAGAACAAAAATAAATAACAAATTATGAAATAAATTTAAAAATAAAAAAAAAAACAAAAGAACAATAAAATAACAAAGACGCAATAATATTTTGGAAATTTATCTACGAAATATTTTGATTGTAGAACATAAATTCGGATTTAAAATATATTTAATGTTGTCATCTCTTAATAAAAAAATATTTGTAAAATATCGAAAGACAGAAAGAATTTTTATGACATTTTCGACAAAAAAAAAAAAAAAATAGTCGCAAAAAGAAAATTTCCTATAAATATAATTTACAATTTTATGAGTCAGACTCCTTTTGTTACAGGACGAAAAATAATTTATTGTATATTTAATTTTAATTTAATTTTATTGTATCTCGTATAATATGCAAATGTTGTACTCTTAAATATTTGCCTATTAAGTATTATTACAGAAATTGCGGGCCCCAGTTCTCCAACATTGTGTCTATAGCGATACATTGGTCAATTTTGAAAAACTTTCAGCTTTACAACTTTTTCTTTAAATTTAAATTATAAAATTAATTTAAAATGTAATGTATATGTTTTAGAATGGGTAATATTAAAAGATTTAGTTTTAGTTCTATTTTAAATCACGCTATATTTTATAAATGAAGAAATTATTAAAAGATGATTCGCCTGATTTTATGCAATATTTTCAATAAGAAATTTACCTATATGTATTACAAAATTTTATTTTTCTTTTACAATTTTTTTAATCAGGATTTAATTTATCATATAGCAATTATATTTAATTTAATGAAAATTCATGAATAATAATAATAGCGAAAAAAATAATTTAAAAAAAAATTATTTCCTTCAATTTGTTACCATACAAAAATACCAAAGGATTTTCCTAAGTAGTGATTCATTTTGAAAATTCTTTACCAGAACTCATAATAATAATAAATTTCCCAAATTTAGTATGCACTTATGAGAAATTTTCAATTATCTTGGAATTTGCGAAATACAAAATAAAAGAAGATATCAATTTATGTCATTAATATTTTGCAAAAAGCAAAAAAAAATTAAAAGAATTTATTAAAATAAATAAAATAAATAAAAAGAAAAAAATAAATTTTAAAATATCACCCCCGACATTTTTTTTTTTTACAAAATATTTCAACTTTTTTTTTTATTATATTGTTTTCTCTTTTTTTTTAAAAATTTCAAAAATTTTATTAGTTGATCAAAATTTTTGTTAAATTGTTCAGTTGATTGAAATATTTTGTTGAAGACAGTTGTGACTTAAATAAACAGAGAAGTTAACGAACTATAATAAATAAAATTCAAAAGATAGAAAATTTATATTAAAAGAAAAAGCTTTCAATAATAAGAAGAGAAATTATTAAATAATTTGGAAAAATGATTGAACGTTGGGAAAATCATATTGCAGTTGTTACTGGTGCTGGTACACAAATTGGTCAAGCAATCGTCAAATATTTATTAAATGCAAAATTAAAAGTTGTTGCAATTGAAAAACGTTTAGAACGTATCGAAAACTTAAAATTAGAATTACCAAAAAATCTTCAAGATAAACTATATCCAATTAAATGTGATGTATCAGATCAATTTGATGTTAAAAAAAATTTTGATTGGATTGAAAAGAATTTGGGTGGTGTACATGTTTTAATAAATAATGCTGGTATCGTTATTAATGGTTGTGTTGATTTTAATATGAAAACTGATGTTATGAGTATTATGCATTGTACTAAAGAAGCATTTAAATCAATGAAAACTCATAAATTTAATGGTTATGTATTTTTAATAAATACATTAGCAGCTGATCATTTAATTAATATACCAAATCGTAGTTATAATGTATATGCACCATCGAAATATGCTGTTACTGAATTAACAAAAATTTATCGTCAAGAATTTCGTAATATGGGTACAAATGTACAAATAACGGTAAGTTATTTATTTTATAATTTCTACATACAATACAAAATATAATTTTTAATTGTAAATGTTATGACTTTTTTATGTTATGTTATAATAGTTTTAGTTTACTGTTAATTTACTATAAATGTTATTTGTATTAAATTTATTTAAAAATTTAAAGCATTTCGTATAACATTAATTACGATTTTTAAATTTCAAACTATGTGGTTCGGTTTTATGTCCGGTCATATACAATTACAATAAATCATGTGCCTATAAAATCTGTACCAATGCTAGATATTATATGATCTGGAAAAAGTACATAGCACATACATGTCTATGTTCCATTAAATTACTCAAAAATTACAATATTGCTGAATGTGTGCAAAACTTGCAAGAATCCCGTATTCTAAAACTTGAAATTTTTAGTATTAAAAATTTCGAATTGCAGTCTTAAAGATATTCCATTTTATTCAATTAATTTTTATATTTAGTTAAAGAGAGAGTGATCAAGTTTTGCAATTTTTCACAGGATTTAAGAAGCGGGGGATTGGAGTTTTTCCTGAAGGTCCCCTTGTCGATATCAAATACCATTTTTTATTTAAAATTATCAATTTTTGCAGAATATTTTTTTTAATATTAGAAAAATTATGTTTTCTTTTTCTAACAAATAGAGGGCGTCTAATAACTTATAATATTGCTCTATTATAAGTTTCCCGCTTTATTGGATTTTTTATTAAATTGCATTATTTTCCCTTAGATATACCATACATATAGTATATAATTCAAAATAAGCCTAATAAATCTTTGTGGTACGTTATCCCTTGGGAGCTGCCGTGCTTTTTTTTTGTAATTCAAATTAAAAACAAAAATGTTTCGCTCAATTGTCATCATTTGGAGTGAATTGAGCGATATCCTATTTTTTGAGCGAATTATTTAAGATCCGAATTTTATTATATTGTTAAATAAGTAAATATTTTCTATAACAAACTTTCCTTTTTCCTATTAAATTTTAAAAAATTTTGAAAAAAATGTGTAAACATTTTTCGGCTAAAAATTTTACTAAATTTAAAAATACAAATTTGTGTAAAATTTTTCCCATTTATCATACTCGTATACGTATATCATAATAAAATTAGTAAGAATTTATAGGAATAATGATACAAATTTTTTTGCAATAAAAAAAAACATAAATTTTCATGTGCATTCTGTCAAGAGTACAAAATATTCTTAATTCATTACTAATCTTCTTAATTTCCATACATACATACACATACAAATGTACATATAATGAATATTCTTAATAAACATTTTACAAAAATCTTAATGTTTAAAAATAATACACAAAATTTTTTCTCATAATTTAAATTTAAATAATATAAATTTAATTCATAAGCTATATTATTTTAAATAAGTACTGCATATGTTTGTATGTGGGCAAATACAAATAAATGGTCAAGAATATATCAACCTTGGCCTAACGTAACAAAAAAAGAAAAAAATCACATTAATAGCTATTTTGCGTTGATCACAGCAAAATATTTTAAAATAAAATAAGATTTTTTGTACACAAAAATAAAATAAAAGTGAATCACTTAGTCTAGAGAAAAACAAAAATATAACTTTGAAATTATTAAAGAAAATTTCATTTTCTATAATTTTTTGTTCTGACTCATTAACCATATGTACATTTTATTTCTACATTTACTATATTTAACATTAATAAAATATTTAAATAATTTTGTTTCAATTCAAAAATTAAAAATATACATTTTTGAGTTATTAATAAGAATTGTAGGGTAATTGTTCTAATAAAAATTTCTTACTTAATCTTTTTTTTTTATGATGCTAATGATTTCTACAACATTTTTATTTCTTCGCCATTAATTTTTTTTTAATTTGAATCACAAACCAAATTATTCATTTATGAGGAAAATTATAAAAGCAAGAAATTGAAATTGAAAGAAAGTTCTGGCTGAAGCTAGATTTGCGGCTCATAAGGGCTCTGATATCCCTTCGATTGAAAAATACCGGAGAAAGAGGATGCCTGGGGGTCATTGTCTGATTGGCGAACATGCGGGGAACCTGCCCTCGGAAATTTTCTCTGTTGTGTCGAAGAGGAGGAAGAAACAGTGACTCACTACCTACGCTTATGGCCGGCACTGGTGAATTCAAGAGAAAGAATTCCATTTTCATTTCTTCCGATGTGTTACGGGTTTAGTGAATATTATTTCCTTCTTAACCGGTTTTTGAGGATTTATGGTTAGATATAATGAGAGGCGGAAAAGAAAAGATCCGAGATCCGAGGAAACCATAATGATTTTTAATGGTCCAGGTGTACCCTTCGGGGGGGGCCTTCAATCTAACCTAATCAAAGGGTGATATTTAATTGAAAGAGGTGATAGAAGTTTAAGAAGAGTTCAATTTTTTTTTCATTATTGTTGTTGAATAAGAATTGTGGTCTCTACAAATTCAATATTGTTTTTTCTCATTTATGTACTTCCATTAGCAAGAAGGGGAAAACAAAAGTTTAATTTAAGAAACATTATGTAATTGAAACTAAAATAATCTTATGAAGTAGTTGTTGATTTTAACCCTTTAGTGCATTTCTTACATATAGGTGTATTTTTATTATAGTATTTATTATAGGGTTAATAACTGCTGCTATAAACGATTAATAAAATCAATTATTAGTTATAAAGTCATAAATAAATTGATTGAAATAAAATTACACGGCCTTGTTTTCCTTAAATTTTGTTTAGTATCTTCTTATTCATACAGACACACAAAATACGAATACAGAATGCAAGTTTGAAAAATGAAAGGAAAATTAAAAAATTTTGTCATCACTTTCGATATTTTTCTCATATTTGTGACGCCAATTTAAATTTAAATTTTTTTTTGTTTTGTTTTTCAAAATAGAAAATTAACAAAACAAATTTTATATAAAAACAATAAAAGTCAAAGTTGAAAAAAATTTTCTTTTTGCGTTTCCGAACAAGAGCAAACAAAAAAAAAAAAAATAAAAAAGAAAACAGAAAAATTAATGAAAAAAAATGTGTGTGTTCGTGAGAATTTTTCAAATATTTTCCGGCGGAATTTAATAAGAAAATAAAATACATTAAAAAAAAATATTTGTGGAATTTATTCAATTAAGTAAACCAAAAAAAAAAAAAAAATAAAATTTTGAAAATTAAATGAATGAATTTAAAATTTTCTAAGGATACGTAATGCCTTTATTGCTCTTTGAGTGAAATTTATTTGGCATTTACAATATTGCAATGAAAATTTGAGTAGAATTCTAATGAAAATATTTTCGCTTAGAGCGAAATTGAAAATTGTGTTTATGCGAAATTACTCATTTCAATTCAAAGAAAATATATTACAACTTTATTGTTGTATAACTTAATGACTCGAATTTTTCTGATTGTCATAGAATTTGAACTTTTGGTCAATTGCAATCAAGAGTGCTTTAACGCGATCATAAGAATACCGAAATAACATTTGAGAATTCTCACGGGTTTTCTCACGGGTCGGTTTAAAAAGAATCTACGCAAACTGGGATTAAAGAATGAAAAATCTTGTAGGTTCTGTAGAGAAGGAGAAAAGATCTCAATATACTTTCTAAATAAATTTGGAGCGTTGATTCATAAAAAAAGGGACAGCTTTAATGAATGCTCGCTTTTGAGCATGTCGCTGTGGGTTATTTCCCCCGAAAATTTGGTAATTTACATCAAAAATGTATGTCACGACGAAATGTTTTAGAAAATCCACTGAGCTCTCGTGTGTTGGGCACAATAGATCTTTTACAATCTACATAAGAAGAGAGCAAATGAATATAGGAAAAAAGTCATAATAATTTTTTTTTTTAAATTATCTTATTTAATTTTTTACTCCCCATTTAACATGTTTAACAACTTTAATCTCAATTTAATATTTTTAAATTAATTTTTAAAGAATAATATTTTTTTTTTTTATACACATACAGGTTGTAACACCATCTGCTGGACGTACAACTTTAATAACAGATTCTTGTACAAAATTAATTGAAAAAGAAGAACAACAACGTGCAAATGATATTGCAGATGCTGTTGTTATGGCATTAGCAACACCAGAATATATTAAAGTAGATGAAATATTTGTTAAACCACCGAAAATGGAAAATTAAAAACATTAAAAATATTTAATTTAAATATGCAGGCATATTTATGGTGCGTGAATGAATTTAACAATATTGTATGGGGTTAATTTAAGTTTTAAGACTGGCATATTACAAAAAAAAAAAGAATTATGTATTATTATTTATTATTATTATTGTAGTTATTATTAGGCTCATTATTATTTAATTTGATATTATATAATACGTGAGCATATATATTATGTAATTTATGAGTGTTTATATTGAAAAATAAATATTCTTGAATAAAAATTAATAAATATTTAATTAATGAGTTTTCTATTTTTATAAATATACTCGTATACATACAAATACGTAATAAAATTGTTATTACGTCAATATTTAATAATTATAATAAAAAAAATTTAAAAATAAAAATTTCTCCATTAAAAAATTACATTTTTTTTTTGTTTTTGTTGTGTGGTCTGAAAATTTTATTTTTGGCAACATTTTGATATTCGTTTTAAGGAAGGAAAATGTTGCAAAAAAATTGATAAAAGCACAAAAAATTAAGTTCATATACATATATATTATAAATATATCCGGTCCATTAAAAATTGTTCAACTGTTTTAAGATTTTTTCCTATTATTAGAATAACAAAAAAATAACAAAAAAAAAAATATTTAACACAAATAAATAATAACACTCCCCTTCAATTTATCATTTTAAAATGTTTTCTTTTTCTACTGTTTTTGAAAAAAAAATTGTATTAATGTCCAAAATTTGTGAGTCACTAATTATATCCTCACATCTATAATGGCAAGGTCATATTTGATCTTTAAAAATAATTTGTTATGATGATACATCAAGATTATATAAGAATTGCTCATTTGAAAAAATTTCGCACTTAAAATATTTGAAAATACTATTGCGTCCTTAATAATTTAAATAAGACCAAATTGTGATGGCTGCTAGTGGAATAAATTGTGCCAACAATATTTTTTTGATAACAATTAATTGTTGATATTAAGGCTCTGAATGCGATCTACGCCTATTTAGGCTGTTGAAATTCTTTTCTATTTGACACAGCGGTCATGTGGGTGACATGCTCCCGTTCTTTCGGATTGAGGATATTTGGTGGGGCGAATTGATTCTGTTCTTACTACGTTTTTATTCACAAAGAATTTTAGGAGTTCGATTCCGTCGAAGCAAACCTGAACAAATCTCAGAGTACCTACAAGCTGCTTCGTAACGCGGCAGCCGAGCGAACCAGCCTCAGATATATAAATTGAACAACTTGTAAAATGACACTGAAGTTTAGGCCAAAACTAGACTATCGTTGTACAAAAACTCGACGGGAGGATATCGATGCTGTAATAGGGATTCCAACGTGTCATTGTTTGGTTAGCGAACATGTTTGGAGGATTGGTCGCCCCAAAAACGATCTCTTTAAAGGCTGCTGTGACGAAGAGGAGCAGGAAAAGATAACCTATCTCCTATGTTCATGTCTGGTGCCGGTGAACTCCAGGCGAAGATTTTCAGGGCATCACCTTTTCCAACGCCTTGCGAACTTATCGAATTTAAATGTTAAGCACTTTTAACCTGTTTAGAAGAGGGACAGAAAAGTAGAGATCCGATAGTACCGCAACGAGCCTAATTGACCTAAGTGTACCCTTCGGGAGACCGCGTTAACCAAACTGGAATACCTCCGAAATTGTGTTTGGAGTATGATATGGAGTTGCGTATGATTTGATTTGAAATAGTGTTTTTTTAGCTTAATTGTGTCAAAATTTAATTGTATCTTAAAAATAGGGACATATTGTCTTTATTTTGTGATGCTATGCAAAAACAATGTCACAACTTGAGTACCAAATCATATTGGATATAATATTCGTCTGCACTTAGACATTGTACAAGCAGTAAATTATTGATTATATAAATAATATGTTATGTGTGATTCATTTAATGTTGAGACATCCTATTTCACGTGCATCCTTCCAATTTAAAAATTGATATTCACATACATTGTATAATGTAGATTATATAAGAAAATGATTTTATTTGCCAATTTATATCACGTCAGTTTAGTTTTTGAACTTAGTGAATGAATTAACAATTAAATAATCAAATTATAATTTTAATTTCGGGATTTTTTAATTAATTTGAAACACAAAGATTTTTCAAAAAAAAGAAAAAATTCTTCAAAAATCATTTAAGCAAAATTTGCTTTTCTTTCAAATGCCTAATAGTAATTTTATTTTTATAATGATATCAGCTTTTTATATTTAAAATTGAAAATCTTCCAAAATATATGAATGCATAATAAAATATTAATTATAGAATATAAGTTGATTGATTTAATTCTAGAATGTAGAAGATATATTATTCTATTTTATAGACAACTAAAGATCAGTCAAGTGTTACGAATTTTGATCACTCATTCAATAAAAGTTCAAGACCAATGCTTTTAACTTAATTAAAAGTAGTTGTGTATAACAATATGCATATCTACACGAACAAATATTGTAAAAACATAATCTTAAAATAATAGAATTTCAGAGTGGAACTTCGTACACAAAAATTTTGAATTGAAATTTTTGAGTTTCTGCAGATCATTTAAATTTGATGCTATTTTATAAAGATAATTTGAAATTTCGACTTAGAATTTTAATTTTTTTTGTTATTTGTCTCAACGAAAGACAAAGATAGGCGGAGTTTAATCCAATCAAGAACGTGTCATAATTTTTGTTCTGCCGTGTTTAAATTAAATTAAACTAAATCAGGATGTCTTGTTCGTTCCGGTCTTTCTGTCCTAACACTCTACTCTATAAGTCGAAATATTTCAATATTTACATGCTGCGAATATCACTATTGCATACATACCAGGGAACACCCGCCATATTGCACTGGCAAGTTTGTTTTATGAAAGTCTGTTTGATATGTGTTTGCTAGGCACAATTGCAAAGCCGTATACTATATTTTAGTTATATATCAACACTTTGCTGCATATTATCAATAAGAATAACGCCCTACGGACTAATAGTTTTCAAACAAATACAAACTATATTACAAATAATATAGTTTGTACGGTATAATACGGGCCAAGTATTTACCTATGTTTTAAATTTTGGATTACGTGGATATTATTACTCGCTTCCCGTTTTTTTTTTTGCCGATTCTTCAACATTAGATGCTAATGTCAATATTGTTGCCAAATGTAACCTCAGTTAAATTATTTGATCCTGGTTTAGAAATCTATGCGAATGATAAAAATAATAAATCAAATCAAATTTGTTCAAATTTTAAATTATAAGCCTATTAAAACAAAACAAAAATGGAGACAATTAAATGTATTTAAAGTCTAAATTGAAATTTGAAAAACATTTTTCTATATAGCTTGTAAAACAGTTTGATTTCCATTGTGTACAAATACATAGACTACAAAAGGTATACATATTTAAAAATTATAAGAAAATTATTTAATTTTCTTTATTTTGAAATATTTTTCAAGTTCAAAGCCCCAACTGTGTCCATTGGGTATATATAGAATTTTCAATAATGTTTTTTTTTTGGTTTTTCATATTTAGAATATTAAATTGTTCGATACAATTTCCAATAATACTCTCCCTTTATTCATATTTTAAATATAAAATGTGTTAATGAACTTTGATGTCCAAAACTATTCTTTGATTTAAAACTATTCTTTAAATTATGTATGGATTATAGGTAATAACTCTATTTTTAGTTAATTTAATCATTGAAAAACATTAAAATGATGTTTTATTTTATTAATTTTAACATAAAAATCGATTTTGAAATTTTATTTAAAATGTTCAGTTTGAAATTGATTTTAATACGATTTAGATCGGAACGGATATATTTTTTTTTTCTTTGTACATATATTTATTAATTTCAAAGATCAAAAGAAATGGAACGTTGGAAGGGTCGTGTTGCAGTTGTAACTGGTGCTAGTTCAACAATTGGTTCTGTTATTGTTAAAGATTTAATTAATGCAGGTTTAATTGTTGTTGCTGTTGCTCGTCGTGTTGATCGTATTAAAAGTTTACGACAAACATTAATTCGTGAAAAACAACAACGTCTTCATTATTTAACTTTAGATGTAACTAAAGAACAAGATGTTAATTTTTCATTTAATTGGATGATTAAAATGTTTGGTGGTGTTGATATTTTAATTAATGGTGCTGGTATATTTCCAACTGGACCATATCTATCAAATATGAAAGGTGAACCGATACGTAGAACAATTGATATTAATATCGTTGGTGTTATAACATGTATTCGAAAGGCATTTGAAAGTATGAAATCAAGAAATGTTGATGGTCATATTATTTTAATGAATAGTGTTTGCGGTCATTATGTACCAATTATGCCAAAAAATCATTCCTATAATATATATCCGCCAACAAAACATGCTATTACAGCAATAGCAGAAATATATCGTCAAGAATTTCCACTAATGGGTACAAAAATTAAAATAACAGTAAGTTTTTTTAATAAATTTATTAAAAATTATATTTATTTATTCAATGTAATGTGGTTTAAAAAAATTTTTTTAAAGAAACTTTGGAAAGAATACTTTTTTAATAATTATAATATGTTTTTTTGTAGAGTATCACCCCCGGGCTTACAGATGCCGAAATAATCAAAGATAAAAAAGAGAAAGGAGAAAAGATACAACCTCTTCTGCAGGCTCAAGATATTTCAAATTCAATATTATATGCTTTGAGTACACCACCTAAAGTACATATTAATGAGATCGTTCTTAGACCTCTTGGTGAAAAATTTTAATTAATTTACAATAAAATTATATAAAAACAAAAATAATGTATAAAAAAAAATAGTTTGAAATTTTACATACAAAAATTTTACATACAGATAAGGAAAGGATTCTGATATTAAATAGAACTACAAATAACTAGAAAAATAATCATGTACGCCTGCTTTTTCTTAAATTGCTTTTTATATTAAATTAATATTTAAAAATTAAAATCAAATTTACATAATATCATATTTAAAAGCAAAAAAGTTTAATAAAGAGTTAATGAACAAAAATAATAATTGTAATATTCACCATACTTCGTGTTCAACAACCATGTTGTATTTAATTATTCGCTCTATTTAATTATTACTTTCAGATTTTTGGGAGAATGACAAAAGTTATTTAAATATACTAATGATTTCTCAATAGACAATACTCGTTGAATCGATTAATGAACGCAAAAGCTTTTCCCAAAATGAGAAATTTTATTTTATTAAAATATTGCATACGCTTAGGCGACACAAAAAATTTTTAAATTTTCTTAAATTTCTTCAATAAAAATTAAATAGCTTTCTATTTCAAATAATGTGTATTTCAAGTTAAATGAAATAAATAAACGAATTCTTTGTTGTACGCGAACAAATAATAATCGTGAGTTTCTTAAATAACGGTAAATATTGCATATTAATAATACAAGTAAATATATATATTATTTATTGTTCAAATTCACTGACTTCTAATATTATAAAAATTAAATATGTAAATGACGATAATGCTCAATTCATGTTATACAAAATTTACAATACCTTCACAACATAATAAAATATTGAATATAATTTTCTTATTTCCAAAAATTTCTAAAATGTATTCTGTACGTTATGCACATACATTTTATATTTCCAAGTATTTTTAACATCCGGCTGATTTAATTGAAACTATAATTGAACTTTGGAGTACACAAAAAGAATACAGATTTTGGAACTTAAAATATAAGAAAGATATTAAAAGATTAAAAAATAAATAAATTATTTATGGGAAAATTTACAAATTGAACTATGAATAATATAAAATGCAATTCTACAATGCAATAATGAGCATTGAACTGACGTAAATCTGATTTAAGTGATTATTTGAAAAGTTCTCTATTGTCAGTATTATATTCTATATTGACAAATTTTACGAGGTGATTGAATGAAGTTAAAATATAGGATAAATTATGTTATTAGCTGCATTTGGGAAAAATTCTAATCCAACGTCAATTTAGGTAAATCACCTTAGTTTTTAAAATGTCTAACAATTTAATTTTAAAATTTTATTAATTTTCACCAAAATATTTGCACAGCTCACATAAGGCCATAAACCCAGCATTAGCAGTACAATAGGTTTTAGTAAGAGAAAAGGTTCCCGTTCGAATAAAGATTTCTCCGATTGGTTCTCAAAAACCGTCGTAAAAGAAATCTCAGAATATACGCCTTACATCCATATTAGAGAAGAATATGTCCCATGTCCTCCTCCTAAGCAATATCCCCGAGGGACATCCATCTTAGTTTCTTGGGCGTTTTTCCCAGGAGACAGTGCCCCTCCAGCACCCTCAATGATATTTTTTCTTCGTCTTCTTCAAATTTCCATAGGGCCAAATTGCCACAAAATCTCGTCTTACTTTTAATTTCCTTATTTATGATATATCTTTAAATTCCTTCAGGGAAAAAAGTAACGATTCATCCACCAGATTATTATACCCGGGATTCGTAGCGTTAAGAAGATGGTCTGCCACAAAATTTTTGCGTATTACGCTACAATAGCGTCACAATATAAGAACATAATACTAACCATTACGACTGCAATTCAGTTCCTACAAAATTCGGCGGACTTTGAATTTGATTTTTCGGTTGAATTAAGCAAGAAATGGTTATCGAAAAGTATAATTAATTGTGGTGGATGAAATTCTTAAGTATTCGTGCCAACTTCGTCTTTCAAATTTTTTTATGTCGAAGCAATAAATTTTCAAAAATAAATTGAAACACACCTTATAGAGAGAATAATTATATTCAGTTACGGTAAAATGCTTTGTGAAAACTACTGTGAATTACCTCGTTCATTTACTCTTAAATAAAATAAAACTTTAAGATGACTGCAATCAGTATTTTGACTTGATTTTTTTTTCTTAATTTTTTTTTTTTTTGAATGAGAAAAATAGTTAGTCAATTGTTAAATTTCTTTATTACAAAAATTAAATATAACTTATATTTTATCCAATTTTGGGATCATATTATGTTTTCAAAATGTATAACAATTTTGTTGTGTATTATTTATTTGTAAATATTTTGTAAAATAGAAATGACAGTGGTAGCATTTTTTGTTATTTATTATAATTTTCCCTTTTATATGTTTTATATTTATATATATATGTATGTATAAATAATATCAAAATACATACTTATTTGTATAACAAATTAGAATAAAACTATCCCACGCATTATCCGTTATTATACTACAATATAAAATAGATGAATAAAATTTCAACAATACAACAATTACATATAGATATACAAATATATGAGGAGTAATAATAAAATAAATAATAAAACAATAACCAAAAAATATCAGCAGTATAACAGAATCAACAAAACAACATGAGAATATTTTAACAAACAGTTTGTTGTGGTTATCTGTCCTTTTTGATTTGATGAATTTTCAATCAATATACAATTTTCAATTGGAATTAATATACATATGTAACCTTTTATTTTAAAGAACCTTCAGTTTCATTTTTATTATACAATATTAGTTCGATACAGCAAAATGAATTTCTGTAAACATTATTAAATTTTGAAGGATATGTTTAAAAAAAAAACAAAAATAATTGAAATTTATATTTAAAATATTATGACATCTTACAAATTAAAACTTTAAACAAGTTATATGAAACGTCAAATTATAGTGTGTTTAATTTTAAAATCTCTGTGATAATTAGAGAGAGAATATAAATGATAAATAAAATCAAACAAAGTAGAAAATATGAGAGAATAATTCTGTGTAATATGTGACTATGTGAAACCAAGCAGCAAGATTATGAAAATTTAAGAAGAATATGTCAATTTCAATGTCAATGTTGAATGTTGATGATGGATACTCATCATTCTGTCATATTTACAATATTTGTCAATAGGAATTTTCTTTATAATGAAAAATTTGATAAAAGACTGAATTATATAAGTTTGGTAATATTACTGCAAAATTAAATTAAATTTTAATTTTATAATATTATTTTATTTTAAATATCAACTAATAAATTTAATATTTTATTGATCCACTCTAAATATCGTTTCTCTATTCTTTAACTAAAATTTATTTTTGATATTGTTTTTTTACTATGTTCTAATTTTTCTCAAAATTTTAAGATGACCATTACGTATGTAACATATGAAGTAATTGAATATCTACTAAAGAGAATATAGTCAATAAAATTGGCAGAATCCAAAAAAATAAAGAAAATAATTGTAAAATTAAAAATCAAAATAAAGAAAAAAACACGGGCTATCTATAATTTCGTACATAAAGTAAAGGTACGTATGGTAGTTCAACTGGTGAGCTATTGTAAATATTTATGTTTGTACAAAACTTGTTGTATTTTTGTGCGTTTATTTAACCCTTTGATGATTCTTTCAATCTAAGAAAATAATATTTACTTTAGCAGGTTTTGTTTTTTTGGTTTTTCATAAGACAACTGCTAAAGAAGAAGAGAACAAGTCAAACAAGAAAATTTTTTCGATGTATTAGGAAGATGATGATGAATACTATACCATTTTGAATTATAGGTGAAGTAACTTCTGCAATTTTATTTCTTTTTTTTTTTTGGGGAATTTCTTTTTGATTTATTTTGCTTATGTCCCTCTCATATAATAATATGCTCATAGTTTTTGTTCAAATCAAAAAAGTGAAGTAATACATCACCATTGCAGTTGAACTGAAAATATTGCAATAACAACAATATTGTACAACATTTTATAAATTTGTTAGTACACAAAAAATTATAGCAAAGGTTAATTTATTTCAAATTCAAGTTTGCCAGATTAGTTAAATTTGTTAACTTATTACGATGGTTTCATAAAAAGAAAAAATATTTGATATGATTTCAATATTTACCATGAGCGCAATAGATAATTCGTTTGGTTTTGGATGCGTTATAAACTGGTTTAAATTCTAGACGTTCCACGCCTCTTTATTTTTTTAAATCAAATTAATTTCGAACGATTACGCCGTCTCATTGAAAAATGATTTGCAATCCCGAAACATTGAAACATTCGCTTCCAAAACCCTTATCGCTGCCTGAGTATTCGTGAAGATGCTGATAAATCTACATGATATTATTGTCAGCTGTTTTAAAATGTTGTTAATTGTTACTACCTCCGCTTGAGAAATGTTGCATTGATTTGGAGAACGGAAAGGAATCTTCACACCAAGTAAAATCCATAGTTAACCATATTACTTAGCTTAAATGTATCTGTGTAGAAGTGTTTGCTTGGACAGTTAGCGGAATACCAAATTCCTTGCGAATAAAAGCATAGGATAAACATAGTTAACCGACTGCGTTTATGAACGATAAAATTTATTGCTGCTCTAAAACTCACAATTCGGAGTTGACAACTTAAAAGACGTTGGAAGATTAAATATAAAATTATATTCGCTATTTAATCATGATTTATGATACGAAAATAATTTTAGTCTTGAGAGTATTTCATTCACATTTTCTATTATATTATTAAACATTTGGCAACTCATATATTTTCCGAATTCTTTAGTTGTATAAGTATATTGAACTGATTTGATCAATTTACTATAGTTGAGAAATTAGAGTTACTTACTTACATATTATATTGAAAAGATCAAGAAGAGAAAAACTTCATTTAGTTAAGGTTCAAAGTGAAGCTTATACATTAGCAATTTAATTTTCATATACACATTGTATACATATATGTATATGTACTTCTGTATTACAGTTTAACCAATGATTTTCATATTATATTAT